TAATTACATTTTTTTTATCATAATGGGGACTGTGGGAGGAAGTGGGAGTACCTGGTGAGAACCCACATAAAAACAGGGAGAACAAGTGAACTCTCAAAGTGAACTTTGTCTGTTTTTGGATCCACTGTAAAAAAAATAAATACATAGGATATTTGCTTTGAATTAAGAAAAACCTTATGTTTTATAATTAAAAGACAGTCTTGGCAATGAGTTACAAGAACTTGTGTCTGTGATTTAACATATTTAAGCCTTACAATTTCGGCCCAAAGAGTGGTGCTCACAAATTTCTTTCATTTACTACAGCAACATTTCTTCATTATGAAGAAAACAACTGAGGCGTACTGTTGAAATTTCACTTCTTTGTCTTATATCAAGCTACAGTATGTCAAGGATTAAATGTGTCATTCAACTTATTTTCACTGAAAAAAGGGGAGTTTCACTTGTCCAATCCACTTAAGCTCAAACTGGACTGCATGTGGCCCACAATGTAAAATGAGTTTAAAATCCTTGATATAGAGTAAATACCTTAGCAGTAGATTAGAAAGGCGATTAAGTCAAATTCAACTTCTATTCTGCCTGCAACCATTAAATATCTGCGAGCCGCTTAGCAACCCACTTCCTTTTACGTTTACAAACCCCTAACCCTAATCAGTGTCCCTGATATGTGTTCTGCTCAGTGTCTTGCTGCTGCTCTCACTACATCCTTTACAAAAGCACATGCAAGGAGGGAGGTCCCGATCTACAGCCATGCTGTTAAAAACCAGTTAACGGAAAATGTATCTTGTCAACTTTAGTGGTCAACATTTCTTGTGAAAGATACATTTGTGACTCATTTGTTCTGATAGTGTTTAGTGCACATAACTGAGAATAAAGGAAATAGAATAGAATACAATAGAATACAATAGAATTAAACTTTGATTAAAAGAACCAAAATGTACTGATGGTAAATATTTCTGACTTCTGCAAAAAAAAAGGACGTTCGCCAGGAGAACATTTTTCTAATGCCAGAAAATTCCTTACTGTTTCCAAATTAATAATAATAAAAAAAATGTATCCCCATTCTTTAGGTAACAGAATAGGTCCTTAAAGCAAAGAGTTACATGAATAAATATATCAAGCAATTATGAAAAAAAGGTCATTTATTTCTTTGTGTTGTTTGTTGGCTACTAAAAGTAAGTCTCCATATTCTGGAGGTGTGATGATAACGCTGCTTGGGAATGTTCCTCCTCACGTCACGTCATGATGGAAAAGACAATCCCTCCAGGGGTCAGAAATCTGTCAGGTCGCTAAGGTCAAGGATCTGACCTGTTGTTTTGCTGCTATCAGTTTACTACGTGAGGTTTCTGAGAACCGTTAAAAAAAGAAAAAGCGAGTGAAACCATTGATTAAAAGAACCAAAAGAGTTGATTAATCCGACCGAATTTACGTCATTTGAACAGACCAGGATGGTCACGACGCGCTTGTTGTTGCTTAGTTTTGATTACCTGCAATCAGTGTAATCAAACTCATCACTTAATTTCCTTGTTTGCAGTGTTTGTCAGTCCACTGCTACAATAAACAACCTGTTGAGGCAGAGCCAAAGTATAAATACCAGAACATCTATTTGCAGTAAATCAGTGTTATTTACTACTCCATTCACGCACCTTTGTTTCTGCAGAGGCGGCAGTGACGTGTTCAGGGAGTCAGATAAAGGGTATTTCTCACCAACTCTTTCCTGTTATTTTCCAGGGTCCTTTGTTTGGTTGCGGGACCTCGGCCGGTCGGTTCTCAGGGGAATGACAGGAACATTTGAGCCTAAGCACTTGAATGTGTGAATGCTCACTGCCTTCACACACAGACTGTCCCATACCTATATGTATGTGTGTGTTTGTGTGTGTCACCTTGTCCTTGGACTGACAACCAACACACATGCAGTGTAATTTGTGTCTTTTTCAGGAAACTTCATCCTTTCTGCTTTATATGGCTATTGGTCAAGGAAATGTGAGGATTGGGAAATCATGAATGTTCCTGTAAATAATAATAATACAGATATGCTGATACACCCCTGTTCATCATATTTATGATTTAGAAACAAATTCAGACTGGCCACATTTTAATTCTGTCGTAGTGTTTAGAGGTGAAGTGTTGATTGAAACGATACGAAGCATTCTCTAACTAGCTCCCAAAACAAGGACAGGGCATGTGCAGTTGTGTGTCACGTATAAATTCCAGAGCTTTCGGAGTGTCACTTGAAAAACCCCATGCTTTTAAATTCCTGTCTTGGGCAGACACAACAACAACAGGAAGAAGGACCATTTTCACAGGTGTCAGGAAGCACAGGAAATAAACAAGCTGAATACTGGAAAACATTTTTGTACCAGTAAGAGTCAGAGGTGAGGCTAATAAGAGTTATTTTTAGCTCGGCCAGTATTTTCTTGAAATCTTTTTATTGTCCTGGATGTCGTGTAGTTATTTTTTTTTAAATCTCCAGCAGAGTTAATGCTGCTTTATGGAGGATTACATATGATAAGTATCTAATCAAGTGCCACATATAATGAATGATCATTAATGCCATGAGGATTCCTTACGATTTTAAAGAGAATTAATTTAAATTTTCATTGAACTGTCATAAGTGTTATTAAAAACATGTATATATATATAAATTTATATATATATGTATATGACTACTTTGACATTTATCTCCGAGTATTACATTATTGTTTTCAAATGCTATCATGAACTCATATAGTTAAAAAATGTACACAAATGTTGAGCCACCCCTCATTTCTAAATATTTTGCTATAGACAAAGGTGCAGCAATATAATAGAACACATGTAAACATGCACAGGAAGACAGTATATAAGGCTAAAACAGGGTTTGAACAAGTCTTGAAAATCAATATTTGGTATGACCACCGCTTCAGTAATGTTGAGGTCGGGGCTCTGGGGAGGACAATCCACACCTCATAGTGTTCAGTTGTATGTTTTTCTATCCAGGTAAGTTTGTACTGCACTGGCAGCGTGTTTGGAAACATTATTGTGGTGGAAAAAGAAGATGTTGCCAATCTGATGCTTTCCAGATGGTATTGTATGATGGATCAAAATCCATTTTTCTGTTCTCAGTTCCATGAATTCTGATGAGATCGCTAAACCTCTGGCTGAAATACAGCCCCAAACCGTGACAAGGCCTCCACCGTGTTGGTTTCACAAATTTTGTCCCTCTGTCCTGATCCCCTCTGTACATAATGATAATGATTTGAATTCAAAATTTCAGACTTGTTGCCAGTGATTTGTCAGTATAATTTGGCATACCACAGCTTTTTTCCTTTGTTTTCTTGACATCCACCCTTCCACTGAGACTATTTCTAATGAACAGTAGATGATCAAATAAAGGGCTAAATGCATCTCTCAGGTTCTTTCTTCTTTTTTTCTTTTCTTTTTTTAAGGACAGACTGCCCACACTGGAGACATATGCTAAGTTTGTTGCTAATACCTCAGTGGGAATCATATTATTTATGCAAACATCACTATTTTATGCCTGTCAAATTGGGTTATTTTTAACATTCATTATGGATTCAGCTAAAAAATGGAAACAAATGAAATGTTTTGTGATAGGCTGCTAATAAAAGCAGCCTGTCTCCACTTGGGAGCAAAAAATAAAGAAATGAGGGGTGGCTAGTACCTTTACACAACACTGTTTGAAGTGCTTTGTATAATCTGCACAGAATTTGTTCCACTGTTTTTCTGTAGAATTTTAGGATTTAAATAAAATTGTTAAATCTAAAGTTAGATACCATTTTCTGAAAAGGGTGTATTCTTATTGACGCTCGCTGAATTAAAATTTGTGTCTATCTTCTCTGGTGTTTAAAGAAACCGATGGGTGAAGTGGAGAAGAAAATCCAGTAAATAAACAATATTATAATGTTTGCTTTTCTTGTTTTTGTTACAAAACTAAAAGTCTGTGTCCTTCATTACATAGACTGAGAAACCTTCCTTCTTTGAATCCTCTCTCTTTCCTCCTCCAGTTTTTCTTTTGCGTTTTTGGATTAAAACGTTTTTCACTGATTGAGAGTTGTGTTCTGCATGGGAAAAAAGCATATTTTCCCATTTTTGAGAGCTAAGAAACTAGGGCACCCAAAAAATGTGAAGTCAAAGATGTCTGTAAAAAGTCTCAGCAATAAAATCCATTTTTGCTCCTGTGTTTGGATACATCATGTCACATCATCATGGGAAACCACACTGGCAGGAATTACTTCTGCTCAAAATATGCACTTCTCATCAGACTTCTTGATAGTTTTGCAAGACCCCTTTCCCTCCCTTAAATAAATGCCAAGGTTTCTATATGCGTGACACTTTGGTCCAAATTTACAACCATATCTGGACAGTAAATTTTCTACACACAAACATACTCTGGGAATAAGGAGAATGCTCATCTGAGATTAAAAAAAATGATGTCTTGGTTTGTGGAGGTTTTTTTTTCTGGTGGAACCCAGCCTACTGCAAAAAGAGAAAAACCCAGAGGTATATGAAGAAATGGCAGAGCTCCCTGCTGCAGTAATGTGGCGATAAAGCACACAGCCAAGCAAAGCCTGGAGAGGCTCCTGGCTTACAGTGATTAATCTGCTGTGTCCAAACAACTCTGTCGCCTTGCACAATGTACTTACAGTTAACAACATGAATGGATTCCACTTATTTATGGGCTTATTTGTCCTTTATATTTAATTAGTTTAATCTACAACTGCACAATATGTTAATTACCATGCAATAATTAATGCTTTTACAACATACCCACTCAGTGTTTCATGTCTGGCTCGATTTAACAACCAAGGCAAAATATGTATTGCTAAATTAGGCAATTAAATGATAACCTTAAGTGACAACTTTGGTTTAATTGCAAATGCATTCTCTACCACACCCAGTGTTGTATATGATAATGCCCATTTTGGATCATTGTACAGGTCAACTTTGACAAACAAAGGCACTCTAAGTGACACTGAAGCTAATGGGAAGAGACTGCAGGGTCATTTTCATTAATTTATTGAGGAACAAAGAAAGATCTGGAAAGAATAACATAGTCTGCATATTTCATTAGAAAAGATAATGGTGTCAAACAAAAACCAAGCAAACCAACTAAAAACTCCAAAAGCTGTAACAAAGTGTTTTTTCTTTCTTTCTTTCTTTTTTTTTTTAATTTGTTATCTGGCGTATTCTAATAAAATATATCTTTCAGTTAATTTATAAGTTAATGCTACATTTACACTGAATAGATTCAGTCTTGTCAGCACTTGTCAGCGAGGGTTGAGCCGCTTTGGAGCAGTGGATCTGTTTGTGTTCTGATCTGTGTTCTGCACAGCGTTCACTTCTCCCGAGCCCACCTCAGTCCCTGAGAATACAAGTAAAGGAGACCATTAGCCTTTCAGTTCATGCAAATGATACATCATATTCAGAATTTTAATTTAGTCCACTTGGCAAGACATTCAGCTTCTACTAGCCCATAGAGAAGTTATTACTAATTACACAAAGGCTTCAAACCTTCAACTTTAAATGAAAATAATATTTCTCCTTTACCTGCTTGTGGTTCATTCTTAAGCTTGCGGGCGATTTTGGCAAAGAAGGTGAGGGTGAGACAAGCTCCGGTTTCTCTGTCACATATGCCTCCCTTGCAGTTGCAGGTCTTACGGCACTCAACCCCATAGGTTCCATAGAGACAGTCTGTAAAGAAAGAAAACATTTATTATTTAGTGGATATTGCTACATCATAAACTGCAAGTCTCAGATTATACAAGGTATGATCATCAAGTTAAATATTCAGCAAGGATGTCCGCATCTGCACATGCTCACAGATGTGTGCCGTTATTTGGGAGAATTTCTAAAACCTTGGGTAAAGGCTGTAATAACATAAATGGATACTGGGTTTGGTGCAGTAACATCAGTGTTACCAAACTGCAGCGTGCACAAACAGCTCCCAGATTTTGTAAGGTTATTTAATGAGAAAATACCTTTGCAAATTCCATATTCGTCTCCATAGTCGTCTTCATCCTTGTAGAACTCGCAGAATAATCCCGGTCCGCACTTCACTCCGTGCATCCCCGACACTGTGCGGTAGCAGTGCTCCCCTCTGCCGGCGGCACAGACCTGGCAACAGCCGCAGTCATCCAGGACCGTCCGAGAGCACCGCTGCGTCCCGCCACACCGCTCCGCCGTGCATCTGTCGGGGCAGTTCACCGCGTACTTCACACTGGCGCTCCATGCCTCAGCATCATGCACCACGAGTGAACACGACACTGTGATAAGCAGAAAAAACATCACTGCACGGGAAGAAGCGGAATGAGCAGAAAGCTTGGAAGGGGTGATGCTGTCTTTTGGATGAGTGTCCTGGTGAGACTAGAGAAGCTGAGCACCCCTGCGAGACTTAAGCGGAGTGACCTGTGGTTCATCAGGTTGCATGGTTATCTGCAATGAACAACTTTGTTTTGCACATGGCTTGCTCTCGTCAATTTCCTCATTCCGGTGTTGTTGTCCCCCCCTTTTTTGTCAGTCAGTTTTGTCAGTCCCTTTTTTTAGAAATCCGGCTTGGCAGTGGGATTAACTCTGGACCGCCATCCAGGAATTGAAATTCGTGTGAACTGATGTCACAAGTTTAGTTTGGTTTGTTTTTGTCTGAGTGGGAACCCCCAGAGGTCCGATTGCATTAGGTTTGTCGCCACTGATTCAACTTTAGTTTTGTGCTAGTTACTGGGCCTGTAGCTGTGTGAGAGCTCTCATTCGTTAACATGTTACACAATTGGAGATACGTCTTTTTAGCCCCCACAACACACGCAAATTAGTTCCTTGAATTCAGATTGCAATGAATTTTATGTGCACCTGAAATCACAGAGGAAATGCTTTCAAAAATAAATTCATATAAATTTACTATAATGTTTAGCTCCTTGTTAAATTTACTGCATTAATATTGTTGAGTTTTATAGTAAGAAAAGGGGAAATTGAAACGATTCTGATGACAAATCTTTGCTCCCTTGTTATTTTTTTAAGTTAAAAAGAGCTCCTTACGTTTCTATTTTCGTTTAACCTAAAAAGTAAGGCTGGAAAAATACTATTATTGGACATCAAGAGTAGCAATCATTACAAGATACTAGACATAAGCGACTCAGGAGAACAGAAATGAAACGTGAGAAGGAATTAACCTGGTTCCTAGCCCCAGGGTCTATACAGATCCTACATTTCCCATAATGCAACAAAGTTTCAGAGGATCATTCGTCTGTGTTTCTTGTTAATTTTCATTTTGCCTAATTAATACTATTAAGTGCATATTTCCCGTCAGTATTGTATCTTTATAAAACTTCTATAATTTATAATAAGATTTTTTTAAGAGCGGTTTAATGGGGTATAATCATTTTTTCTACAACTGTGGTTTAGGGAATTCAATGTGGCTACAGTTTATTCACTTTGACTTTTTCTCTGGCCATGCAGATTTTTTTATTTTATTTTTTTTAACAAAAACTCAAAGGTGTTAGTGACGTTAACGAGCTTCGCTCCGAGACACACGGTGGCGGTAACGCGTCGACCAAACACCGACTGCCATCGGGGATTAAAAGTCGTCCGAAGAAGAAGAGGGGGAGCGAGGAGAAGGGTGATGATGATATTTGCGTCCAAGGGAGACCTCACTGGGACACAGCAGGTAACGCAAAACATTCACTGGCGGTGTTTTTACTGTCAATGTGTCTTATATGTCTTTTCATTTTAAAATTACCTTTACGACGTTAGCGACCCATGCGGGGGTTTATTTCACCGGGAGCTGACAGGCACCAAGTGGAGGGGCTTGGTCGGGTTTTGACAGCCATGGAGCAGACTAGCAACTGCACTGCAGCCAGCGTTAGCTCAGCTGTCACCGCAGACGCAGAATAATGTTACCGGTGTTTGTGAATGACACGGCGGAATCTGCGCTTCACGTTTGTCGGTGTTTTTATTGGTGCAGGTCGGTAGCTACTATGTAACAATAAACCAGAGAGCCACGTAGCAGTAACGGTACTAAATGTTGATATAAGCTTTAAAGTGAGAAGCCAGGACTGTGTCATGCTGTTAATTTAAATACTAAATGTCCTACCGGGTTGTCATAAGCGTGGGTGCCCAAGTCATTTATGCTAGAATTATTATTATTAAATTGTATTCTTCATCATCATCATCATCATTATTATTATTATATTATTATTATTATTATTATTATTATTGTTGTTGTTGTTGTTGTTGTTAATAAATTTAATGTATTTTTAACCGGTAGCTTGTATTATGGTGAACAAATTCTCTTTGTTATCCAGTCCTGGTTTTGGTTAACTGTCATTCAAGTATTCATTATGCTTTTAGTGATGGGGTTGTCCTGGCAACAGCAGCCCAAACGTCCCTTAATTGGGTCGGCAACTTCCTCCAGCTCATTCTCGAAAACTTCCAAACCCCATCGTGCCGAAAGGGCGTCCTAGTGTCAGCTCACCTCATCCAGCAGTCAGTATGAAGGAGGTTGCGTTTAAAGTCTTGATTATTTTCTTGTGGATTTATGCTCAGCTACCGTGCACAAAAATGTAGTCTTAAAGTAAAAATTAAAGAATAAAATAATAATAATAATAATTAAGAAAAATGTACAGATTACATTAAAAAAGATTTTTATGTCGGGAAAGTTGTATTGTTTTATGTGAAAAGCATTTGTTTGTTCCATAGAAAACACATTTAGTGAAATTGAAATTGTCAGATTTTTATCATCCTGGTCCAAAGATTTTGTTTTTTTTTGGAAAATATCACTGCCATGCATGTTGTCGTCTGACCATGGAGCTCACTACTATATCAATGCCTGCTGTTATTTTTGGCCAAAGTGGAAACTATATAGCCCCATGGGCCTCAGGGACAGCAAGAGAAATGAGAGTCTGTGACAGGACTATGGATAAATTTGTGGGCTCACATGTTGAGCAACCGTTAGTTTGGTACAGTTAGAACCTGTAGGGTCATCCGATAATCAACATAATGGTAATCAAGATGGCTAATATCACTGTTTTGTTCACCATTAACTAGAAGTATTAGTTCATGTATGTTTAAAATGATTAAAAAATAATACAGTAAATGTACGAGTGGGTATCAGGTCTACTGGTTAACCTGCTTTAGAATATTTAAGATGAGTGTGCATAAGCAGTGTTTCAGGGGAATGTCATGCCTACTAGTGCTATGAATATGACCTTCGTATTGTGACCGTTACAAGGACTGTTGTGGCTTAGCTTCTGTTATGAATGTAATGACTTTCAAGGGGGTGGATGCAGTTAACCAGCTGGTGTCTGATTATCTGCAAAATATTATGAGTAAAATCATTATTTTCCCCACTAGCTGGAAAGCTGCTTGGCTGGAGATGCATCATTTCCAGGCGACAGAAACAGACACGCTCTTATTTTGGTTGGAAAGCCAACAAAAATGCAGCAGATCACTAGGTGAGGATGTGGGGTTAGGGAACCAACTTTAAATGAATGAATTATGAATTTAAATTTGACATGTGCTATTTTGTATTGCATCCCTTTGTGCTTTGTGGCGTAATAACTTGTAAGACAAACACACCCTCCTCATTAGTGTGGGTGTGCTAGTTAGCTGCCATCATAGGGTGCGCTGACCTATTTCAGTGATACCCACCGGGCCTATGGCAATATCCTGGATGTAGTGTATGTTGGACAAGTGCCGACGCTAAGGAGAAACCCGACACCTTCACACTGAATGCACTTGGCAGGAAAACGCATCAGAACACTGGCTTTCTGCAGCAAATGTTGCCTGTAAATTTGTGATGAAGAGAGATGTGCAATTCTTTGTGTTAATCTGTACTGGAGTGGATATGTGTGAATTTTCTATATTAGACTTTCTTTAAGCCTCATCCTCTCTTTTGATATGTTTTTTTTTTTAGGTATACATCAGAGTATAGATAATGCTCAGACATGGTGCCTTGTCAGACCCATGTGTTGCTGAAGTGGCAGGAGCACTTCAATAGCTCCTGGGCGGCAGAGGACAGCCTGCAGACAGCCAGGAGGCATGGTGCTGCCGCGCTCTACGATAAGCTCCTTCACAACAAGGAAGTGGTGACCCTCGCCCAACCTGTTCAAGAACTCGCAGGCCCACGCCTTCCGGACTTCGAATGTGAGTCCAGTGCATCTGCGGAGAAGGAAGAGTACCTGTCCTCCCTGCTTCGTAGCCAGCGATGGCTGGCTCACCGCGTGCTGACGCAAACCTCCTACACCGTGGATCTCCACCACAGGCTGGTAGTTCTACAGAGGATCTACTATGCACTTCACAGCAAATACCATGACAAATTCCGTGTGCAGCTGCCCTCCCACTCCAAAGACAGCGGAACTGAATGTGGGCAAATTGAGCCGGCCTCAGAGCCTTTCCTACCAGGGGGAGCATCCAAAATCAAGTCGGGTACAGATGTTCTAATAGAAATGGGTGTCAGGACTGGCTTGAGTCTGCTCTTCTCGCTACTGCAGCAGAACTGGAGATACGCAGCTTCTATTCATCCAGAGTCTGTGCTTTGCAACGATGTGCTCAACACAGCGTCCTCTGTCCTGACTTCGCTGCCACCACTCTCTCTGGCTAATGAGAATAAGATCCCGTCAGTGGGTCTGGACTGTCTGGCACAGGTGGCTGACTTCCTGAAGAAGACATCGGTCAGCAGCGGGAACGGTGGCGCAGACCCGATTGGTCGGAGGCTGGCGCTGGAGCTGCTGCTCGGCCTGGCCATGCAGAGAGGCTCCCTGAAGTTTCTGCTAGAGTGGGTGGAGGTAGCCTTGGCTGCTTCCATGTCCTCTTCCACCCCTACACTGTCTTCCTCTTCCTCCTCCTCCTCCTCCTCACTGAGCTCCCAGCAGTCAGCCGGTGTGGGCTTTGATGTCATCCATCAAACTCTTCTCCAAATGAGGCAATATTCGGTATGCGACTTGTTTTCATATCAGTCTTTGGAGTAATCGTACTTTTTTAATGTTACACTCGGTCACTGATGGTATTTCTTTAATTGCCTAAGATAGATTTGTCCTGCAATCATGTGATATATTGGACATATTAGTTTACAGAAGTTTAAGTACAATCAGTTCACATGCTGTGGCTCTGTTCCACTTTCAGAGTGATTTGAATTAGAGCCACGGTTGCTTCATGCGTTTATTTTTGGTAACTTTCACAGCCTTTCATGAACATACTGATAAAAGCCCCATTGTCTCTAAAGTAGGAAAATGGCTTTTCACGTTCATGCTTCTGTAGGCTGTCCTTTTCAGAAATGAAGTGTGTCATTGAAGCTTGTAGATGGGTTAATGTGCAGATAAGGATTAGGATTGAGTCAGCCTTGCTGTCCTCTATAGATATGCACATTGAGTCATCCTTTAGCAGGTTAATCAGCTTTGTAATATTTCTGTACAAATGGCAACCAGAGAT